TCTTCATGTCTCTTCTACATCAACATGTGTCCCCTCTTCTTCATGTCTCTTCTACATCAACATGTGTCCCCTCTTCTTCATGTCTCTTCTACATCAACATGTGTCCCCTCTTCTTCATGTCTCTTCTACTTCACATATGTCCCCTCTTCTTCATGTCTCTTCTACATCAACATGTGTCCCCTCTTCTTCATGTCTCTTCTACTTCAACATGTGTCCCCTCTTCTTCATGTCTCTTCTACATCAACATGTGTCCCCTCTTCTTCATGTCTCTTCTACATCAACATGTGTCCCCTCTTCTTCATGTCTCTTCTACATCAACATGTGTCCCCTCTGAAGAGACTCTGAAAGTTTCAGGAACAAAGATTCTCTCTCTTTTTGATCCATTTCTATAAAAACCTGTCTGAAAATGAGCTGATCAGATTTTGGCCACTTTATGATGTCATAACGATGTTTTGTCTTGTGTAACCATCAGCCAATCAGCAACCAAGGTAACCCCCCCCCCCTTTATCACATGAATCTCCTCCTAGAACACCATTGAGTTCTTTGTAACCAAATGTCTCTCAGAGGGGCGTGGGGAGGGGCTCCTTATTTTCATCTAAAGTAACAGACAGAGAATCAGCTCTTTGGAAACAGGGCTGAATCAGAGGGGATTATGGGTAATGCTGCAATGATCTGTTTGGTGTTTCAGCCAATCAGAGAGAGGCTCTGGATATATCTGAGACCTGTGATACATTGATGAAGAACAGTATAACAGGGGACCTTTAAGGCTTCACAGCGGCTGTTTAGTGGGTCACTTTTGAGAAACAAAATTGACAACAGTGGCATTAAACAATTTGTATTTTATCAAAGATTGTCTACTGACTGACCATGGGGCGTAGAACTCCACCAGGATGATGTCTGCATTGTTCACAATCTCATCAAAGTTGTCCTTGGTGAGAACCAGCGTCGCCTCAGGGGGGGGTTTCCAATCTGGCTGCGCCACCTCTTTCACCCGACCCACAATAGCTGCAACAAACGGGCGTTGAACACATTTTAAAAAACGAGGTCAGGTTTTGTTGAAGGGGTATAACGATGCCTAAATTATCCAGATGTCCCTACCCTTCTCTGTCCTCTCTCCATCGTAGTCCACAGCTTCCCCGTTCTTCATGATCTTGAAGGTGGGATAGCCCGACACTTCGAACTTGGTCGCGATTTCATTGGCTACTGTTGCGTCCACTTTGGCGACATGAATCGGAGGGTCATTCTCCTTCAGAGCTTGAGCGATTTTCTCATACTCTGAGGCAAACTGTTTGCAGTGGCCACACCTAAAGGGATAAACAAAGAAGACTTCAATATTGACAGGCATATTGAAAGTGAGCTGCTGTCAGTGTGTGAATAAAGAATGTCCTAACAGACGCACCATGGGGCATAAAACTCCACCAGCACTGTGTCTTTGCCCTCCATGAAAGTGTCAAAGTTTTTGTTGTTGAGAACCGTCACGCCATTCTCTTCCTTCACCTCCGTGTCATCTTCATCATCCTCCTCCTCCTCCTCGTCATCATCACTGTCCTCTTCGTCAGCTTCCTGCTTCTCCTCTGTAACATCTGCCAGCAAACAAGAAGAGGACACAAACTGATTTCAGCCGTGCAAACTTGGCGAGTGCATTCATTTATCAACATGCTTCTTGTTGAAACAGGACAGGTTCAAAAAGATAAGACTAAGAGGGGCAATAAGCCAGAGATCAATGTTTTCTACAATGCGTATGTTCCTATTCCTAGATTAAGAACTATTTATGCATTTAGTTTAGTTTATAAAGATGGTTTTATCATTGTCAGAACAATATACTGTAAGTCATTCAAACTAGCTGCACCTTTACCAGCTTTGATAACACTTTAATTATCAATAATTAAAAAACACATCATATATATTATTCTGAAATGGACCGATCTGCACAATGACTACTTTTGGCACTATATGTTGAGGCCAATACTTTTGTAGTTTTACTTGAGTAACATTTTGACTGCAGGACTTTTATTTGTAACAGAGTATTCCTACACTCTGGTACTTCTACTCTTACTCAAGTACAAGATCGGAGTACTTTTTGATTACATGTAAATTATAATTTAGCTGACGCTTTTCTCCAAAGCGCAAAATCTAATCAGCGCAAAATCAAATCAGTGCAAAAACCATAAAGAATCAAACTCTGAACAACAAGGAAAGTGTAGATATGTTCACTTCAAGCTAGATCATACCATAGTTAGTGCTGGTGAATCAGTTACAAGGCCTAAATGAACTCAACAAGTGCTTCGTTTTTTTCAGCAATAACTTAATTGCCCATGTACAGTAGAAGTAGAAGTACCTCTCCCACCTGTGCATGTAGACAGAGATAACAATGTGTATGCTCCACACCTGCACACAGACACTGCACCAAACCAGACTTTATTAACCTTTTGCATTCACATTATGTTAGTGTTGACCCCCTCAGGCCAGGTACTTTCATGTGTGTAAGGCAGTCCTGTTGTCATTAGCTTACCTGTCCTGTTAGCTAGCGCGCTAACAGAACGAGCAAGGTATCTCACTTAGCTAGCTAGTTAGCAGTCCAATAATTAGCACAGCAGCCACTTCCGTGCTTTGCTTGAATAGCTAATTAAGTTGCAGTTAACACATTAAGATGTTAAATGCTTCACTTACCATCTTCACATCGGCTGAGGGTCGCAAAATGTGCAACGCCGAGCAGCACGAGCAGCAGCAGCACGAGCTTCTTCATGTCCACGGGCAACGGGTTTTAACTCTTCGTCTCAGGCTAATTAACTCAGCTAATAAAAGGGCTAATACGTGTCATCAACACACACACTGCTGCACACACACTCTGTCCTGATCAATACTGACGATAATGTGTGTGTGTGTTTTCATGCAAACTACTTCTGATAACACGAACAACGCCTTCTCCGTCTGCAACTTGTCTGACTTGCCACGCTCTGATTGGTCCGCGTAATCGACCGCCATCCAATCACAATTCGCCACTCAAAAATACGTTGGGTGATTCTATTGGACAGCTCTGTCCCGGATCTATGACATAGTTTTCACACCCATGGTCTTCAGGACTTTTTAATAAACTAATCTTATTTTTCGGAAAATGTCACATTCACAATAACTGGACTGAGTTTTAATGCAGCAATATTACATATTAAAAATAAAAAGGCAATACCAAGTGTGTATTTGATAAATGTTTTATTTCCTTACTTTATATATTATATTATATTTGTATATTTGTTTAACTCTGTATATGTACCCCTGATGTCAATATGTTGTGTTTATATAATGTTGGATAACTAGCATTTGGAAACTAACATCCA